AAATGTGACAGCTGATGTTGTATTCACATCTAGACATACAGCCTTTGACTGGGCTGAAAAAGTATAAACACTCACACTACATGTTTCTTTTCTTTTCTTTGGCCCGCTCATTGTTGCAGATGGGCTCTGAGCATTAGACCACAAATCACTGCGCCTAATGCGCCATCTGGTGGAACGCCAGGCATTACAGGACAAGGTCCAATGAATGCAGTCATAATTATGATCTGATTTGATTTGGGCAATTCTGTGCTAATCTTCGGCAGGCCAGATTAAAAAGACCAGGATGTGGCCCGCAGGCCGTAGGTAGCCCATCCTGGTTTAAGCAGAACTCTGTTAGTCCAGGACAGAACAGCGCACCTCAACATCTCCTTAGCTTGATGCTTCTTTCTAAATGTGCTGTAAGAGTAATATTAGATTTTCTTGTGCATTTCCTGAGTTTCGTTATTTATTGAGCGGTTTCCACTGTGAGTGTTTCACTGTTCAGTTTGTCTTGTTTCGTTGAGGGCGGGACGTTACCAGGATGCCTTGGGTCCTCTGCTCAATGCCAAGAGACTGCAGCAGAAACTGGGATGGGCAAGTTACTATGACAACCAGACTCAGGCCCCTCCTCCAACCTCCTCCCATTGGTTCTTCACCCTGGTGGGACTGTCGAGCTGTTTCCAGCAGGTGGACCAGCTGGAGGAGGCCCGAGATCACTGTGACCACGCCCTGCGTGTTCTCACCCCCACCGAAACTCAGACTAACACAGAGGATAAGCCCCTCCCACCTGACAATAAGCCCTTCCAACCGTCGGAGACGTCGCGTCTGGACGACGACAGGCCACACCCCCTGCTGTTGCCGCTGTTACGAGTGATGGTTCGGCTGTCGTGGCAGACGGGAAAAGACAAGCGACAGTGGGAGGAGCTTCTGCAGCATCTGGAGGAGCGGTGGGTGGGGCTAGACAATCATCCAACCATCAAAGAATTTCTGGTTAAACACAACCTGCAGGATGGCGAGGGTGAGGGTTAAAGAGTGCGCACGCCGCAATCAGTACGGTACGGGTCGAGTGTTAGAGCCACTGCAGGGGAAACAAAGCTGAGATTTTCAAAATAAAACCTGAATGTTTTGAGTAATTTTAGTTTTATTTTTAATAAAAAAAAAGTTATTGAAGGGAAAAAAGTTTCACCTATAAAACCTGCTTTTTAATGTTGTGACGTTTTAAGGTGGGATTGGAGGCTGCCTCAAGTGGCCGTTAGAGGAACTGCAGCTGTTCACACGAGTTTGGTTTGAGTAATAAAACCAAAAACATTGTTCCGAAAAAGAGTGATGTTAATGTAATGAAAGAGTAGGCCTCAGTAAACACAGAAGCTTGATTACAAAATGACGGAGCTGATGAGGCTGAAGGACAGTTGAGGCCGTCACCTGAAACTCGGCCAGTTCAAAATCTCAGTTTTTATTCCCCCTGACAGCGGCTGTAATACTCGGAGTACTAATGGGTCAGTCAAGGGTTCAGTCGTAATTTCAAAGCCTTAAACTAGTTCAGTGGTCTTTGTAGGTCCGATGCTTCACATGAGTTTTGTTCTTAACTGTGACTCCTCACAGGTTTTCTAAAACAACAGCCTGTTATTCTACTTCAAGAGGAACTTCTACAATATTTAAGACTTGTTTTCTTTTTCAAATAAGTTTATTTTGAAAACTTGATTCAGTCGAAGGAAAAAAAGTGTCCACATCACATTTTCAGAGTCACAATCAATGAAACTGCAGAAATGTTTCGTAGAAACGTGAGGAGCACAGATTAAGAACAAAGCTCCAAGAAGGAAGCAGAGGAAGGAGAAAAGGATGCCTCAACAAATCACAGGTCATGTTTCACTCTGACTCTGAGGAGGAAGTCCTTTTAAAAGTCCTCTGACTTCCTACTAAAAGGTTTACTGATGATTAACAGTGTTACATATTGCAGCATTTAAAAGGGAGCAAACGGGGCAGAATGTAGAGACTCCTTGAATCTTGTGGACGACGGGTTAAAGGCGCCTTTAAATGTTTCACAGCAGAAAACTGCTTGTATTTGAGCTCTGATGAAAACAAGAAGAGCGACACACGTGCAGAGACCTGCAAAAACAAATGACAGTCAGACTTTAGTATCCATCTATAAATCGATATTGGTAAGTGGGGCGGGGCTTTCTGCTCATGGTGAGCACTCAGAGGCTCCAGGCCTCATTCACCCAGCCACACACACATGCAGTGCTTTTATTTAACACTCAGCCATCCCATAATACTCTGCTTATCCGCTCACTCTTGTTGTGTTCGGCTGTTGTGGCGTCGATCCGACTGTCTGTAAATAACAGTAATGTGGCGCACTGAGCTGCAGTAAATGACTAGAATAGGTCTTTAGGTCATTTTAAATATATTTATATTCTTAAATGTTTTGTTTGTCATGTTTTATTTCACATGGAGCCTTTCGGGTTCCTCACACTGAGGAATTCAGCGTCAGACGCCATCACACCTGCTAATATAAACGCCTGTTTCTCTTATTCCTGCATATAAATCAGTCACCTTCACCATATTATCAAACTGTCCGGTGTGGGTGAAGCTCACAGGGCTGAGCAGGTGGATCATATGGCTTAAGGCTGTTGCAGAGGCCTGGGCTTTAATCCGTCCAGAGGCCTTTCACGGTTCCCCGTCCTTTCTCTGTTGTTGCAACACAATAAAAACAAAAAAAACCCCAAAAATATACTTAAAAAAACCCCTTTTTTGGTTGCAGGGTTAAAAATATAAGCACCACGTTATCTGAAGGTTCTGTTAATTGATGGCTGAACTTGACAGTTGAGCTGGATCCATGATCAGTGTCTCAAGTCAATTAAAAAATATTAAAACAAGATCTGTGGCACACTAACTGTACATTATTCAGACAGTGCTGCAGGTGAGCTTCCTGCTAACTCATTTTAGTGCTTTAAAAGGTTGTTTGAATGATTTTGATAACATGTAAGGGCTTTTTTATTTATTTATTTTTTTAGAAAGAGTGAAATTATTCAGTGCCTTTCTAGATTTTAATGAGGTTGTGATGCACCTGTGCACCAGGAATAAAGGGAATCATGAGTGCAGGTGAAACAGGAGCTGCAGAAACTCCACAGAGCACCTGTAAAGACCTGAGCTGTGACACAGTCGCGCTCACACTGAGCCTGATCTGTGTGTGTCTGCGTTATTTGTGAGAGAGATTTCATTTCCCAGCTGAGGAGTAAAGCGATTTACTTGCACGTGTTTTCCTCCACCTGCACCGTTTCCACCTGCAGTGGAAAATTTCAGTGGAAAGCTTTGCGTGCTGCCGGTGCGTCACATATTCATCGGTTAAAGAGGCGTTAAATGAGAAACGCTGTTTATCTGGAGGAACACTTAGCGCCTCTCCTCCCCCCACGCAGCTCTCACAGCTTCGCAGTCATTCGAGGTAAAATCTGCGTGCTTTTTACGTGGATGCGGTTACTGTGGAGACCGGCCCGAGTGGACGGCCACACGAGACAAAAATAGATGCGAGGAGCTGGATTTACATCAGCAGGAGAAATGTCAGACGGGACTGATGGATGGAGGAAAACAGGTGATTAATAATGAGGGACTAAGCAAAGTTGTCAGAGCCGTGATTTTGGCGCTGAAGGTTGGACACCATGCACACGTAGAGATTTATGCACTTCCTGTGTCACCTGTCATGTAGAAAAGCTGCTGATTTGTCAGATGTGAGCGCTGCAGGATCACAGTACATGTTCTGTATTATGCAGAGTTCTGTTATTTCCAGCTGTTCTGCCGCACTACAAACCCTGCAATGCTTTCAGCTTCACTTGCTCATCTAATCTGGTCAATGTCTGTCTGTGTGCAGCACTTTATGCTTCTCATTCACACTCACCAGTCAGGACCATCAACCCTGTGATGAGTGCATGAGCAGCTCTGCCTCCTGAGCTCCCTCTATACTGAAAGTAGAGTCAGAGAGGCCACTGCAGAGGGAGCGTGTATACTGGAGACTATGCACAGTTAGGCAGTTTCTCACTTCTGGGTTCAGTGACAGTTGTGTTAGCTGTGACCGTTACACAGTAACTGTCAGCCTGCTCTGGTTTCATACAGACCACAGTAA